TGGAGAATCCAGCAAGTATAGATACATTCTTGTGCTCTTATCCATATTGCTGTAATACGCGTTCAAATTTGAAAAAAGTAAATATAAATATGAATTAATTACTGTTGTAGTTATTGAAATTGAAAAGACCTAAAATAAATATAGCTGTACATGCATTATTTATGTATTTCGTTTGTATTCATATTTTATATGTTGTATGTAAAATATAGTGAGGCAATCTATCTAAATGTAATACTTACACAATTGTCAGGAGAAGCACAAAAGATACGCTTTCAATATTCCACTCTGCCCAATGTACTTGAATACACGCAATCAATAATATCCATTCAGGTTTCATTTTAAATCCGCGTGATTCGTGCATTAAAGCAGAAATAATCGCAATTTCACTGTGAAGCAAAAGTAATTAAATTCACGAGTTTAAGGTGTTACCACGTTTCATTTACAATTAATTATAGTAGGAGAAATTGCATCACTCGCACGCCAAACTTACTTAAATACCAATTAATCTTGTATACCATAAGGGCCAATAATCCGGACAGATTTAGTATATAATTTATCTTATTGTCAAAGCCACGGTTCTCTACCGCAAAGATTTAGTTTGAAGGGATGATAATTATTTACTGTCACAACTCGTCTGTTTTTCTTAGTACTACTCGCATAGTGCGGGTAATCGATTCTGCCAATTCTTTTTGAAACCAGACTAATAGAGTACTATAGTGAATCCGGACTAATCGAAGCTGCAACGTGTCAGGTGTTTCTTATAACAGGATTATTGATTTAATGAGAGGTTTATCATAATAATAATAAAAATTGTAAAATAATGAATTTTTATTTACATTTTTGTACATACATTGAATCTACAACATATTTGTTTATATTTAGCACAGTTATATAAATATTTATATATATATATCTAAACTATAATCTGTTTTTATTGATATAAAATGCTTCGCATAACTTATATAGAAATGTACATTTTATTCGATAGATTATATTTGATATGGTAACGAAATTAATATCACCTTGCAATGATTTGGCGTTGAACTACGAACGCCAGAACCGAACAACAATTCCAATCAGGACTACCGAATTTGAAGCTTGATCTGAAAAAAAATAATACAAACAGCAAATAAATTAAAATTATCATTAAGGATATTTATAATTCCATTAGAAGTTAAATTATGATGAACGAATTCGTGAATTTACAGGAAATACTTAATATGCACAGGTTTATTCGTTTATTAAAAGTTTGTAATTAATGAGCAAAATACATAAAGTGAATTAAAAAATAAATCAATTAAAGAATATTTTCATTAAAACGTCTAGACGATTTATATAATTCCTTTTAATTTCATTCGAAGTTTGCATATGAAAAGCAAGATGAAATCCATTTAAAACGAATGTATCTGCGGATTTACAGGAAAACTTGCGCGCACGTAAAGTTTCCGGGTGCATCACGGAAATTGCTTTACACGAGAAATTTATTGGGTGAATTTTGTAAATTACATTTGATGTTTATTCTTATCTTTATGGTTTTCCGAATCTATGGACGGTGCAAGATCGCTTACAGTTCGCCGCTTCCATCGGAAAAGTTTTTGCAAATTAATGAAGTGGACCTAATCAGGTTGGAGCTCAATTTGCTTCATTATCGTTAAATTAAATCGTGCGCCAAAACGCGTCAAGTCAAGGAAAAGTTAAAATATAATATTCGTTGCATATAATAGAAAGTAAACGTATACACAAGGATAATAATCGTTATTTAATGATTCTCAAATTAGGATGTAAATGTAAGTAGCTTTGCAAGTTTACTGCGATTAAAGAGTTAAACGGTGCAGCGAACAAAAGCCGACTATTAAAACTTTCGTTGAATGTGGTGACATTTACATGTGCACGCATCAAGTTTGGATAATAAAGAAAATCGTTATATTCCGAGTATTAATAAAGATGGACTCACCTATGATAACTCAGAATTCTCGTTTAATGCAAATAATAACGTTGGAGATATTTAAACAGGATCCGGACACGGTTCCCATGCGAGTAATTGGAGGCTGGTCGACTTTGTAACTGATGATCCTCTGTTGATGATGTTCCTGGCCTCTGCGGCAATATTTCCGTAGGATGGAATGTACTTGCTCCGTTTGGTTTTGATGGTCTTGCTGTACAGTTTCAGGACTTGGCAATTGCATGTGACGAGCATCGCGATGAATATGCCCTGAAGCCCTTGGCCCACGTGATACGCGATCCATAGCGTATCCGATTTTATTAGTTTCGTCAAAGCACCTAGCACCATCACAGTCAGCAGTAAAATGTTTATCTGAAACAAACACACATCTCTTCAAGCTTCATTGATCTAAATCCACAATTTATAGTTCAACTTTTACATCAAGTTTAATAATGCTCTTTAACTGGAATTGATTTTTTTTATGAATGATCTTCATTGAATATTCTAAATTACTCTTCGTAGCCTTGAGTATACTTAAACATTTGTTTCTAGTAGAGATTGACAGCAAAATTAAGATAACTAAATAAAATATAATAAACCAAATAAAATATAATCATAATAATTTATAATCATTAAATTAAACAAATAAAAATTTTAGATTTTAATTGAAAATAGAAATAACATTAAAATACATTTCGATCATACCCAAGTCTGTAGAAATGTATGATCAATAGTCACAACTAATATACTATAATATTATAAAAAAGATCATTGATAAATATGTTATAAGGTTTAAATAATTTCATAATATTGATATTGATTTAATGTTGAATAAATATCTACCAGACAAATACATTTTGTAGCAGGTAGCTGAGTGAACTGCGGGTCGTGGGTTGCCGACCACGGTTATAAATTATATCATCATAGAAAAAAAAATTATATGAAAAGGGATCCTAAAGGCTATTCATCCATGACCTCTCTGGCTTATACAGCTCCCACGTAATGAAGACAGACTGTTTCTTATAAATATAAAAAAAACTCTAATTTATTTTGCAGATAAATTATGCAAACTGAATACAAAGTTAATTAGATAAGTTTGGTTGTATATAATAGAAGAGAAGAGTCAGATAAAGTTTCTTATTTTTAGTTGTATATTCTGATAGTCATCATCGTTTCATTTATTACATAATTTATTATATTCTGTTGTTTATTTGCTGTTACTTAATAAATTCGAAAAGCAATATTCACTATATATTTAATCAAAAAACTAAATTTTAATTGTAACAAATTAGTACACATAATTGTTTTGCATATATTAATAATTATATTTATTTAATCTATTAAGTCTCTTTTTGTAAGCGGTTTTCAAGTCTTCGATTAGTGCGGTTTCAAATGCGGAATTTACTACCCGCACTATGCGAGGTATTGCTATTTAATTGGTATACGATAAAATTTACATCTACGTGAAAATAGCCATTAATATTTGAATTTGTTATATTCCAGTGAATTAATTAATTTCCATGGAAATTGCTATCTCTCAGGGACATCATGAACTATAAAATAACTAATCGTGCTTTATGTACTCGGAATATTGATGGTTCGAACATTTACACAAAGTGAATCATTTTACTAAACGTCCTTTATGGATTATTTCTGGACATAAAATTGAATCTAAATTGATTATAATTAACGATCAAACTTTTATATCAATCACTTAATATTCAAATGATTTTAATTGATTTAAATTGAATTTGAAGAATCTCAATTATTAAGTAATAAGGATTTGGCGCTTCTCGGAATTGGCCCTTAATCTCCAAAGTCTCCTTGATTGACACGGCGATTATCGGTCGTGCCAATCAAGTCTTACCGCATTCTAAAGTGAGTTTAACTCGGTGTATAAGTATTATCATATCTTTTTTTTGTATTATTTGAGACAATTAAATTTGAATGAAATAGAAAAAAAAAGGATCGTTAGAATATAATTAAAACTTACATTATTTCTTTCAACATTTTGTACAATACCTCGTTTAGTACGGGTAATTAGGATCCATACTGTATAAAACCGAACTAATTGATAAACTAAATTATATAAAAATAAGAAGCATAAAAAGAAACATTACCTTTTAAAGGTAAAAAAAAAATCAATTATTTTTCCATTAAACATTAGTTCATTTTTATATTTTCTAACCAGACTATGGTGAATCCAGACTGATCAAATCCGCACTATACGAGTTATTATTAAAAAAAATATGACTTTAAATTTGTGATTTTGATTGTAAGAAAAAAGTAAGAAATAATTACTTGAAATTGTAGTTGGTTACTTCATTTCAATTACATGTTCTTATGTTAATTAAAAAATCAAATGATTTTTTAAATATTCATGCAATCAATATCCAATTATGTCATGTTATTATTATTTTTGTAAATTTATTTGTATGTTAAACTCATCATTATATATTATTGTAATCTCTTTTGGGTTAAAGATGTTTCATAAATCAATCTCAAAAGAATTGATATGGATGGTCTGATGAGAGTTTAAAACTAAATTTCCTTATATACCAAAAAATTGGGAGCGTTTCAAGCGTAATTTTCTGCATGTACAAATTTCTTAATAATTCACAGAAAACTCGAATAGTAAATAGCGTACAACATTTTTTTTTTGCAGAATACAATAGAAAGAAAAGGACGAAATATCAATCAATGGTTGGAACGGAAAGTATGTGATTATTTTGAAATTCGCATCCGTTGATTGCTTCTGTGGTGCTGAACAATGGACGGTGATTATTGGAGCTCCGAAAGGCGGATATTCGCTTAATTAAAATCGTGCTCTTTGATGTCGGCAAATTTTTGACGTATTCGTCGATTTTGTTTCGAACGAAATAAAATTGATGCCGAAAGCAATAATAACTTGCATGCGAATGGCAGCGTTGAATGCTGATGCGTAAGGGATGAAATGTGCATGCATGTGATTGCGGAAATGGATGAGTAATAAAGTTACTAACTTCAAATTGTTCGATAGTATGTTTACCTTTGTGTCAGAGCGCAATCATCGATGTAGTAACTTTGCTCTAACCGTATCACCTCTACCACAAGTACTAAAACTCAATATGTGTGGATGTATCAAACACTTCGAGGATAGAGTGAAAATATCGATTTATCTTATAATTATTAAGACTTATTCATTATAACTCATTCATATAACTATAATTATCTTTATACAAATAAATATAATTGAAATTTGTTTTATAAATCTGGACTATTCGAAGCCGCACTATGAAAGGAATTGCTGTAATGCCTAAATAGTGTGAAACATGTTTAAAACCGGACTAATCGAGGAACTAAATACTAATTGTTATACACTACTTTTTTCGATTTTTTTTTTATTTTGCTTAATTAAAATGTGTTTTATAAATCTGGACTATTCGAAGCGCCGCATTAAGCGAAGAATTGTTGTAATACCTAAATAGTGTGAAATATGTTTAAAATTGGACTAATCGATGAATTAATACTAATTGTATGCACATTTTTTTTTAAATATCTAAATAGTGTGAAACATGTTCAGAACCGGACTAATCGAGGAACTAAGTACTAACTATATGCTCTATTTTTTTTAGATTTTTTTTTAATTTTGCTTAATTAAAATTTGTATTATAAATCTGGACTATTCGAAGCCGCACTATACGAGGAATTGCTGTAATACCTACAAAGTGTGAAACATTTGTAATTATTGATTTCATAATTTGTGAAAATTTATATTATTTGACTTTAGTCGAAGTTCATTAAAGGTGTAAATTGATTGAAAAATTATAAATCTTTGTTTTTCAATGGAAATTTGTTCTGATTGTTTATTTAATGTATGTAAAAAAAAGTCGTATTTAGCAAATAACAGTAGATAGGATAAAAGTCATAATTATTATAATTAATAATTTGCTTTAAAAAATTAAAAAAAAATATATAAAAGATAAATATTTAATAAACTGCAAATTGTAACTATGATTAATGTATATACAAATATGTGCGTTGCAGATTAAATATTTTGAGGATACAGCGAAAAATTTGATGAGTGATGAGAATCCCAAAAATCATGTATAGTTAGATGATGTTGGATGATGATGGATGCAAGAAAGTATAAATATTAATTAATCAAAACGCTTGTTGTAATTTCAAATTCATGCGGCTTCTGTAAATAAAATATAAGAACGCCTCCAAACGCAATAAAGAGCCTCGTCATCTTAATTAAACCCGACCACAATTCGCTTTGGTAAACATTTCTAATTGAATTGCAGAGACATACTTTAATGCACAACAGAATCCCAACCCATCAGCTCTATACTTTTTTTTTGTTGCATATTAATATTTTTACAAATTTCATCAATTTGCTTCAGAAGAGCCCTTCATCAAGTTCGAGGGCGTGCAATTCCAATTAACAATTTATTTATTTATCAATTACGTCACTAATTGGATGTCGAATAATCGATGGTCCTCTTGAATCTATTAGGCCGTCACCCAGGAGCGACTCTATGTATGCTTCGCACATTCCTAAACAGCCCTAATTCAAACTAAAATTTAATGCCGAAACTCATCATCATCATAATCATCCGAAAGCGTTCACCCTTCCTTTCGTGTAATAAATTCGATCGGGATATTTCATTAATGGCTTCGGCGCAGAGTGAGAATGCGGGAAATGTGAAACATTATACCTTCGTAAATAGGACGATCTGCAGGGTGCGTTTCCTTCGCATCTTATCACGTATCCGCTTGTCCACTTGCATACTGATCACGTAACGGGCCACCACTGCGGAACGGATGATGTACGAGAAGATGAACACCACCATCACCACGACTGGAACCAACAGACCGAAGATGAAGCTGTTCTTATCCAGAAACCTAGCAAAAACAAAAACATAAAAAGAATAATAATATATCTCATCTCAACTTATTACATGATTCATGCAATACATTTAATATATTATGTAACGTTTAACCTATTTTCTTAAATCATTAACATTTCTCGGCAGAATCTTCAATTTTGACTCATTTTAGTGATTTCCTATAATACTATAATGGATTCAATTAATTCAAAAGATGCCTATAGAAACTAGATGGAAAATGTGGCGAGTATTTATAGATTGCTGGGGTTTCATCCAATTGTCTGTAATTCGCGAAAAAAAGCACACATTTTAGTGATTTTCTCGGAAACTATAATAGACTAACTTGTTCCAAAAGATGCATACGCTGGATGTTTGGAGAATATAGCGATTATTCATACATTGCTGTGGTTTCATCCATTTAGAATTAATATGAGATATATGTACATTTTGGACCGTAAAAATTTGTTAAGTTTGCATAACGACGTCCATTTGAACTTATTATGACTTTCGGCTATTACCTACAACTTGCACCAATGCTAATTGACACTCAAAATAAGGACTTATTCCGCAAGGCAAACATCTGCCGCAATGCCACAACATTCGGTCTGTCGATATTCCAAATCCCCGCGCAATTCTCCCCCGATCGAAACTATCGAAAACAACAAAATAAATTGGCAAACATAAATTTAAATAGAAATTAGTTTTCGCTGCAATACTGATTTATATATGCACCATATTGAACACACCCAAATTTATGTTAAAAAAAACATTGTAAAATAAAACAATTTAAACGATTATGAATGAAGTTCCAATTTCAGTATTAACGATCAGAATTTACGCCTTATACTTTTTTGAATTTCTAACTTTAGTAATAAAGCAATGTAAATCAGAAGTTTTAAATTGTACGTTTAGCAAATTAATATAAAATGTATACTGTTTAAATACGATGAAACGCGATCAAACAGATCTGGAAAAAAAATTCTCTTTAAAAAGTAATTAGACTTTTTCAGTTATTTATTTTAGAAAATGAAATGTTCCACTTCATTCATTTCCATTTATAAATATAGATTCAATCATAAACTAAAATATTTTATATTAATTATTAATCTGATAATGTTTCAAATGCATTTTGATTAAACCATTTAGATAATTTTAGGAATCTTAATAAACACTGTAATATTTCGCATAGTGCGGGTATTCGGTTCCACCGGGATATTTGGGACCGAAACCGGACTAATCGAGGAAATAACTGAAGAATTCTGTGTAATATTTTTTTAGAATTCATTTTTATTTTGCTCAATTATAATTTAGTTTGTTTTCAATTTTCCAAACTATACTACAGCAAATCTGGATTGATCGAATTAATATCTTTGTCGAAATATATGAAGAGAAAATTTCTATTAAATATTAACAATTAATATCTTACAGAAAATCAGATTTTCACTTGTTTTTAAAATTAAAAAAGTAGCGTCACTAAAACCAATGTAACTTGTGAACTAAACGTTTAATTGCCATAAAATTTTGACAGGCGTCGTCTGAAGGTTGGTACTTCCTAAAAATCATATGGATATTATCAATAGAGACGCCATCTAATACGAACAATGTTCGATGTTGTAGCTCTACCAATGCAAATTATTACTATCCGCTACATGAATTGTGTATTTATTGGATAGATGAGTAATAAATAAAGCCTAGAACAATGCAATTATGAAAAGATAATTTATCATTTTTCCATTATGAAATATGCGAATTTAGCAAAAATTCATTGTTGTGTACATTTATGTTTCGGCACAGTAAAAAGTATGTATATTCGCAGATCGAAGATAATGGAATGTGGATCAAACGCGTACCGCAAAAAAGCCGTCGACGTGTGCAATTTCGAAAGCAATTTTTGCAGATTACGTACGTTTTAAATGCAGACTGAATTTATTTTCCCTCGCACGACGTAATACACAATTTATCTTTCCGCTCTTTGTTCCTCATCTGCAACGTTCCTGCGTATATACGTATGCTATATTGAAAGGACTGAACAAATATTGGAGCTTAGCATATGTATCGTAAAACGGAATATTAAACAGGCTTAAAGTGTCCATATACGCAGAGGGATGAGCTTAACGTTTATCCAGGAAATGTGTAATTTCACTGAAATATACTGCTACAAAGAAGCATTCACAAATCGCTTTATTTTAACAAACTCCATTTTCATACAACTAGATTAAAACCAATTAAAAAACATAAGTCCAAAAAAAAACAAACAAACAAACGAAAAGATGAATCTCCACAAATATGAAGTTCTTTGTTAGAATAATCCGCATATTATATTCGTTCGTTGACTCTTTTATTTTTCGTATTATTTTTCTTCATTTCCATTTTCCACTCGCAGTAATTTCCGCAATTGGCGGATATGCAAACAAACTTTATTTAATAGAATTTTGAATTATTATTAGTTCAAGTTGTAAGTAAACTTTTCAATTCCTTGAGCGTTCATTTTTTTTTCATCTCTTATTGTTTTTATCAACGACTTTTATTTTAAACCCGAACTTTTCTTCGATTTATTTTTATCCGTTTGAGAAAGACGGATTAAAAAAAATTGTTTTGTCCGAACTTCGTCAATCCAATCCATTATTATAATGCAATTTAATAATTAATACGTTATTAATTACGCATTTTCATTCGAAATTACTAGCACATTATTGTTATTAAATATTAATTCTATAAATAAGTAAATAAGTTCTAATTATGATTGTAACAAAATAAATAATAATATTTATTTATTTTTTACTGTTTTACTAGAAAATGTCATTAAATGTTAAATATTTTGAAATAAGAGACCGAAATAATGAATTATGTAATAGCATTGATGTTTTAGTCAATAACTGACTTCCACAGTTTTTTTTTGTTCTTCGTCGTAGTCTCAAGATATTTCAATTTCCTCATCTTTAGAGTCAATGGTCCGCATCGTTGATAAGCTCACAGCAAATTGAAAAACTTTTTATCTTTGACAATATCATATTCATTTCCTATAAAATACAAGAAAAATAAAAATTGAAATAATATAGATTCAATTGCAAAACAATATTTTTAATAATTTTAATTAATTGAATACATTTCAAAGATAACTTTGTGATTCCTTAATATTCTCTTTATTTACTAATTACTTGTAGAAAAAATTGTTTATATTCGAAACTACTGCCATAGTGAACCCGGACTGATCGAAGTTGCACTATGCGAGGTGTTGCTGTATCTATTTCACGAAAAAATTAGTTTCATAAAGTTTTCCAAAGTTACTAAATCGTATATAATTGTTTTATTCATACAAAACGAGAAGTATAGAATTTCTGTTGGATGAGAATCAAGTTTCGCTTTGTTAGATATTCCAAGCTGAAATTGTGTATTAACTGAATACATATATGACTCTTAGATTTAATAGGCTTTTCAACTATACAGTGGAACTTCACTAAACGAGCAAAATTAATTGTAAGAAAAATGTCTCGCTTAACGAGCGACGTTTCACATAACGAGTGACGATCATTTTTAAAACTTGTGTAAACATATTATGTGTATTTTTGAATATGTTTCATGATGAAACTCATTAGCGAGATTCCACTGTATATTCATAAACATTTCAAATGAGTAAAAAAAACATATTTCTGAATTTACGACATACAGTTTCTAAATGCAATGCTTGCATTAATTGTAAAATGCGTATTCAACTATAAAATGTAAATAATTTATTACACAATGTAAATGTTTATGAATCCTCTTCCTGTTGTATTTATTAGACGTAGTTAATTCTGTTGAAAGTTTAGCACCGAAATGTGTTGATTAGACTGTAGACACATTGATTTCAATCAAAACGTCGCTTCGTATTAGATGCAAGACGCCACTCGCTCCTGTGGATCTCAAGATTAGCGTATCTGACAATTAGGCATCTCTCAATTAGATGTATTCGTTAAACTTATTAACAACGTGAAGTACATTGAATACAAAATTTTTGCTTGGCTATTTTATTATATTACTGCACGATTCCATGCCTTTTTACAAAAAATAATAATCGAGTACTTTAAAACCGCACAAAAAGAGATTTATAAGTGATTGTACTATTTTCTATTGCTCAACTAAAATTTAGTTTGTTTTGAAATTTTCACACCGTGAATCCGGACTGCTTGAAACCGCACTTTCTAATTATATAATAATTCTTGCAATATTGATATTATTACTAAATTTATTTCCTTTCCTTTCGTTGTATATTTATTATTTATAAAATGGTGTGGACAATAGCAGCCTGCAATTTGTTAATGTTTGCATATGCGGTAATTACTTAGTTAGTTAATCAGTAATTAGTTCAAATTTACTCGAATCATATTGACTCAACTTAATTATTTCGTTTCAGTGATTACGTCTCTACAGCCGTTGAATACACTTGCTACCACCATTCAGTCATGTGCGTATTATTACAAATTATTTGATCATCGTATACAACAAGTTTGTCAATTATAATACAGTATTAGACTTTGCTTTATTTAAGAATAATCTTATTAACTACTGGATATTAATTAAATATTATAAAGTAATTCATTCAATAAAAGAAGATTTATCAGGTGTAAATTTTCTGACATCAATTACATATAAGAAAAAATCAAATAGAAATAAATATAAATTATAAATCTGAAACAAAAAGTTCCATATGAAAAATCGTTCCACCCTAATAATTTATTAATTTACAGGAACAACAAATTATGTTGAGATTATAATTTTGTATATGAAACCATTGCATTTGAATTATTATTATTTATATAATTTCCATGAGAATGCACTTATAATTTTTTATTTCATGGTTGAAACAACCCACGATTTGTTTACTGTAGTAATTATTCAACTAAATAGTTATTACATATTGAAATGTGTAATTATTATTTGATATATTTCTGTATATTTATGTATACAGAAATATATTATATATAATAGATAAATATTAAATGTATATATTCAAATAAAGGTCTCAGTAGGTCTCAGTTTGTTAATTTTTTATTTATTTCATATAATTGCTTTTGTATATATGAATTTTAGTATTAAAGATTGTTTAAATTATTGTATACAACTCCATAATGTATTGGGTGAAGTGAAAAGTTCTAAGCGTTTTGTCCCATATATCGAGCTTCTTGAATGAATTCTTATTGGAAAAAATCGTTCGGTATAGTCCTTTTTGGTATAAATTCAAGGACCTGGAACGGATTAAGAACGTATATGTATATGATAATTTTAATAAAATGTATTGCTAAGAAATACAGCAATACATATATTTAATGCATTTAATTAAAATTTATCTCCTAATTGTATGTAATTATAAATATTATTTCATTGCTAATTTATGAGCAAAATACTAGGATTTTTGAAAGAGAAATTCTTTAATTATATATATTTAATTTTTAATTATATTATTTGTCTGGATGTATAATTAAAAATAAAATTTTTGATTCAATTTATTTATTTGTATTGTTGAATATTTTTTTTTTGTATTTTATGTGCATATTTAAAATTGTGAACAAATTGAAACCACTGTAAATATACCTGAGTACGAAGTAAACTTAGTTTATTTGCACGTTTTAGACCCTACACTCTTTCATCCAGTAAACAAGTATTTGCTTTCGCACACATTTAGTTAAGTCATATTAAATTTAACTTTTAGACAAGTCTTAATAGATTTATGTAAATGGGATAAAGAGGATGTATGAAGAGAAGGATATATATATGAAGAAAGCTTACCAACAATTGTGCTCCCTGAGGCTGGCCGTATCCAGAATTTTCCCCGCTTTGTCGTGATACTGAATAATGATGCTGGCAGTTAGGAATACTGCGGGAATGCCCCAAGCGAATGCAGAATATCTGAAATAGAATCAAATTATAACCACCACTTATCGGATATTGGTTCACGTAATCAAATTTGCTCTGCCGCTTTTACTCCGAGCTCGGCCCTACCACCTCCACCTACAGACACTTTCACTTACATTTTGAAACGTGACTGCGAAATGAAAGCCCTTCGATTACACACAATTTGTACATTCCTCCAGTTTAATGAACGGTAACAACAAAGGACGTTCGGAACGGCAATAATAGAACGAATTAAATTATATGAAAGGGACGTACCTAATTCATTTCGGACCGATGATTCTCATATAAATCACAAAACACTGAATTTTAACAATATTTCACCAGTGACGACAGTAATAGCTAATTATATTTTTTTGTAAAAAGGGGGCGAAAATTCAATATTTAGCCTCTTTGATTTCATGAGGAAGGGTCCAAATCACAGATTCCAAATTTGAAGAAATTCAAATTTCTGTTCGTTGCTTAACTCTTAACAATTTACGCCTTTTTGACATAGATCTAACAAATTATGTTTTAGATAATCACAATGAGTAATGTCAAAAATTTAGTATCAAATTGTTATATATAAGTATAATCTTTACCGTTATATATAATTGAAAGATGTCATTTTTTTTTAAGCAATACGTTTTTGAGATTTTCTAGCAACATATATTACAATTACTAATAAAATTGTGCAGCTGCTTAGGTTTTAAATGGATCAATGATCTGCAATGTTCTAGAAAATTCGCAATTTCTGGAGGTAAAAATATGCTTGTCCAAGTGTAACGCATTATTTTCTCATAACGTATTACATGTAAAAAGATGCAAGGAAAACAGGCAAAAACCTCTTGCGAACCGTAACACACTGCTGCTGCTTCTGGCACAAGCTCCTTGCATACGGAATCAAATTTCCTTTGCTGTTTCATAACAAAATCACGGTCGATTTCAGCGTTAATAAATGTTGAAATCCCATATTAATATTACCCCATGAGCGGAATTCTAATTATATAAATTAATTTCGAATATGCAGAACGGTCAGTCGTAATGATATCCACGACTGCTGCACTCGTGGTTTTGATTGCAAACCGCTGTACATTAATTATTCTCATTGCTGATGGCGGATTTAATAATTGTTCTCAATTCGTTTTGGTCGGAATTAATGGGAGAGATTGTCGTAGGTATTTGTCGTGTACTTTTGTCATACAAATGTTGTATATGTATCACCTGATACCTTTAAGCTTATCGATCTTCTTAAGCTACAAATGCCGCCATTCGTCTTTTAGGCAGCGTTTGTCGCGTGGTAGAATAAATGGAACCGTGCCAGGAAGTTGTGCAATGCTACACTCCGACACGAGAATTTCAATTGGAAACGTCAGTGCAATAAAAATATTCTATAGTGGTTGATTCAAATCCAAAGTTACTCAATAAATAAAATTTTTATAACGCAAATAATTCAATAGAGTAAATTTTAAAGAACTGATTAGGGTTTATAGGTTTTCAAAAGCCGGATTTTTGAAGAAATTTGTATAATTTGAAAATCGGTTTTCTCCAACTACAAATCTTTAAAATACTTAAAATGTAAAAATGAATTAATTATTTGATTAAAACATAAATATTTTGACACAAAATCGTCTTTGATACTAAGTCTCTTGAAACAAGCAGAAAATAGGGAAGAAATGAAGTCATATTCTTGTCTACCAAACGAGGTGAAAAGTTCATAAGCTATAATGGATAGAGAATTTAGGACAATAATGTGCGAATATATTAATAAGTGAAGGATATTTGAATTTATGTCACGCAAATAGAAAATTGAAATTATATCTAGTAATACTTCTTCATTATTTACAAAATACATAGAACGTTTGAACAAAGATGTCTAGCGTATTTCTTCCACTATTTTCAAAAAGTGAGATCATTAAGTTATCTGGGAAAATATTATCAAATTAACCAATAGAAGATGACCGAAAACATAAAAAAGCGACGAATAAAATTAAGCCAATAAGAAGTTAGGGGTACAAACACAAGAACAAAGAAAATTAAATTCAGCAAGTTTTTCTCTTAGTTTGATCTGTAAACATTTTTTTCCTTTTTAAAATCATATTTTTCTATACAGATTTATATTGAGTAAATTTTATTTTGATATATTTTTTAATTTTCTATATTTTAAATAAAAATTAATATAAATTGTATAATTACAAAAATTACACAAAACCATGTAATTTTTTGTATTTTAATGCACTATTTTTATAATTAAATTAACAAATAAATAATAACTATGAATGTTCAAATCAACATGTTGAAAGTTTAATGGAATGTGTAGATTGCGTGATTAATTCTGTGTATAGAACAATAAAACTGTAATTGGACAGGCGAGGTATATAACAAATATTGGTCATACATATCTTGTCGAGCGTAAAGGTAAATAAATATGGTGGTGTGGAGGTGAAAAGCATCGGCGGCCGTTAATAATCCTGTAGCTGTAGCCACTGAAATATTTCATAAATTTTCAGCAGAAGATATAGAGCGGCCGTAAATATCTCCCGCGTGCACATTTGTAATTGGTTTTTCTGGCCATTATAGCAATCGCTGAAGCCCATAAACAACGATACCAAAACTTTGATTACTATGGAATTGCAAATTGTCATCGACATTCGGTATGTACAAGAAAATACTGCTCCAAGAACAATGTTTGTTCGCGCAGGTAATGGACGTCGTGCAACGAACAGCTCCGAATTGAAAGATACATTACGTAAGACAATGTGCGTTTCCGGGTTGTTGAGCAGGAAGACAAAAGGTATCTTCGAATAAATGAGAGTTGCGGAAACGTAAGGGCATATTTTCTATTTCGCGCACACCGTGAAACTCACTCACCTGAAGAAACGCTTCCCTATGGCGTTATCGGTGACCGGAACAAGGTGGAGGTTCGTTCGGAACTGCGAGTACATGTGGTGGGTCATTACCAGCATCCAGCAGAAGACGCATAGCCGGATATAATGGAGAGAAAAGGCTAAGGCCACACACAGTTCCGGATCCTGGAAAACAAACAAACACAATTATATTATGCCCACTGCGTACAATACGAACACAACTTATATTGTTATATTGCAGTAGTTCAAACATGAAACTCACGACTTCGTGTGTTAACACTCCACGAAATAGAACCTAATATGTTGGACAAACTACTTTTACTTGTCTTTCTTGCATTGCCTCAATGTATCACTGACACTTTTGTCTCTCGTATAGTAAATTTATCTAAATTGTAATATTCCAAAAGGAAATTTATGTCTAAATTACATAAGGAATTTATGAAATTTAGGGATTAAATTTTTCAATTAGCAAAGAATTACAGATATTAAATTAGTCGCATTTTAATTAGGAAGTATTATATAATATAAAACGTAACATTGTTACTACTAATATTTAACAGCTGTCATTTTGAAAACTCGATCTTAATAAGAAAATTATAAGAATGAATAATATGAGACAACGAATCAGAAAAAGAAGACCCACCAATCTAAGTAGTTTATCTAGGAAGTTTATATATAAACAAATAAGATTTAACTCATAAACTAAATGCATTCTCTCTATTTAATTAATTAATAAAGAGTTGGATAATTCAGCAGCATTAAGTTATAAAATAAATAAAATATTCCGATTGTTTTTTTTGTTCATATTGATTTGTCGTTATGTATGTTTGCTTGTATTAATCGTATGCAGATGTGTATGTTCACAATAATTGATGATTCATTGAAATTATGTTTAAAGTGCAGAATAACGAGGAACAAATATGCATTTTGAATATGCATGTATAAGCAATTTTACGTTGATCAAATTAAATAACCGCAATGCATAAAATTGCATAAATCATTATCGGCTAGTTATTTTGAAATATCTGCTACATAAAAAAATGCTATATTATTGGACTGTTCATATTTTTTATTGAAATTAATTTGCTTTTTATTATAATAATATCAATATTTATTGCAATAATTATACATCGTAATTGAAATAAGGAGTACATTCATACATTTAACACTTACTCGCGTGGAATCTGAGAAACTCCGTTAAATATAACGTTAGTAATTAATAATTCTTAAAATTTATATTTGGTTTGTACCCAACAGCGCCACACAGACGCCGCGCGAGTAATGAAGCGTAAAGTTTCCAGTCACAATTGTTTTAAATTGCTATTAGTTTTGTCTTTCTACAATGTGATTTATTCTCAATATTATTGTTTACAATTGAAACAATACCGAATCGTATTCTATAGTTAATTGCATCATTGTAATGTGTGTTCGTACTACTTTCTGTATTCAACGCAACTTAGATGAAGATGTAAAATAAACAAATATATTGTATACGTTCCGCTGTTACAATTTACGTGTAATTGGTTTTAAGCAATTCCAGAAACAGCATTGTAGTTTATTATATACATGCGATTCAAATGGGAGAATACTAAATAATGGCACCCTCAGGCTAATAATAAATAATAGCAATGGTTACGTAAATTAAAAACAAATAATGCAATTAAACTTAAAGTTCTACACACTGTATGCATTTGAACTAATCATGCAATAAATGTAATCCAATTTGCAATGATTTCATGATATTATATATTAAAATTATGCAGTAAACAATATATCATCATATAAATAAATGGATAACTGTCAAAATTAATAACTGTTATGAATATTTGACAGCTGTCAAAAAAAAAACATTTGTTTTGAACAGTTGACAGCTGTCAATTCAGATTTAGTGTCATATGTACAAAAAACTGAATATTTGACACCTGTCAAAAATCATTTGTTTTGAACAGTAGACAGCTGTCATTTCAGATTTAGTGTCATATGTACAAAAAACTGAATAATTATTAGATATTTGTCAAATGCATTTATATTTGTACAAATAACATCGATTGGATTGAAAATTTTCAAATCAAACTAAATTTTAATTGAGCAAAATAAATTCTATAAAAATAGTATACAAAATATTTTTTTACATGAAAATGATCATTTTAGTCACGTGGAATTTATTATTGCATATATTTAGTTTTTTGATTAGTCCGGTTTTAAATAGTCGAGAATATAGGCGGAATTGATTACCCGCACTGTGCGATGTATTGCTGTATATTGTAATATATATAGTTTTATGAATGATTTTGATAGATTTGGCAGATGAAAAACATTTCTTGACAATCAGAGCTATAAAATACATATACTTTAGGATTTGATAAAAGATATAAGAAATAGGATTGGCCCTACGATATATATATTTTCCTCTTAATGTAATTCCAATAATCTGGCGCACATTTTCGTCCCACTGTCTGCTGTATTATATGTACACTGAATTGGATTATTTCCAAACAATGACAATTTTCCTTGCTTTCATAGTATCGTCACAATGGGTTTCGGATGAATTGGACATTATTAACAAGATTTATTTTATCCTCTTGATAAATCTACTTCAAATCTTTATAAAATGAATAGAAAAATTTATATAATTACAATCTCCTGTCATAAATATAAAATACAGACATAAAAAGCTACAGCAAAATATATTTAATAAGGATACAAGAAATGATCTAAAAAAAAGAAAGCATTACTTAATTGGATCAAGGGCAGCGAATCAGAATGTTTGCGACGTGATTAAAGAATGTATTAAATTACTTATAAATTACACGAATTCGTAATGGGTCATTATTCGAGTACGAAAAAAGCTCTGAGTACGAAAAAAAAAAGAAGAAAGAAAACAAAAGCGGTCGTAGTATTGATTGTATCAAAGCGCCTCCATCAATTTAAAACAACAACAAAAAATGTAATTGCTGCCCTTCCACAGATAAAAGCTTTTTAATTAAATAAATATATAAATTATAATTGAATATTTGACAACGTTATTCTATAAATATTAATGATATTTTTATATATAAAGCTAGAATTTACTGAAAGTTTTATATTTATCTCTTAACTCTCTTCATTTACTTTAAATTAACTATTTATTATCTATATATAACTTTTAAATAAATTTTATGAAATATTATTTATACGTTTTAACCAAAACTTAGACAAAATTATTTTTATAAATTATGATAATAACAAACTGCAAATTAGTCAAATCTTTTGATATTGATTATATCGATTAAAATTGTAGATTTTTATATATTTACGTTCATGACGCTAAGGAAAAACTTAGTTTATTATAAAATATTAAATACAATAATCGCAGAACTTTAAAATAAATGAATGAATTCTGAATTGTTTAAAAGAAATCTATTCAGCTGAAGACAGAGCTCTTTAAAATATACAGAATTCGGTCTATTGTTACAACATAAATTGAGAAAGACAATAATTATCTCGCCTTGCAGACTTCTTTAATGGACTTGTTAAAATCTTTCATTTACTTGATGTGTGTAAGATTGTATTAATAACGTTATATTCATTTAAATCGCTGTATGTGTAACTTATTTTAATGTTTTCATTTTCTATTCAATCATGTATTATGTAATGAATCACAATTAAATTGGCATCGATAATTTAGTCATGCATTTCAGAATGATGATGAATTGTCAACATTTGATAACACAAAAACTTGAACCATTTGCGCACACATTGTGATATGTTATTTAATGGTACATAAATAAGTATGAATTGAACCAGTCCTAGTGTGCTGGATTATAGAACATTGTGTCGGAACATAGATCTGCATACGATTATTTGAATGGATCATCAGTCCCGGGTGATTTCTGCATTGCAAATGACTTGATTAACATACAGTAAATTTCGTCGGGATGCATTGTCGACAAAATACTCGTTTGCCAGTATTCCCAGAATAAAATTGAAATATTTTCAGTCGGCGCTCTCTAATATTTTTTTTTACCAGTTTTCCCCTTTCCCCAGTATTCAGAAGGAAAACGTCGGAGAAAATCAGCCGTCCATAAAAAGTGCCAATAATCATCAGCAAGTAATAAAGTGGATGCGACACTCCGTTAGGAGTCCTGGCACACTATTAAACATCAATTCCAGTTATCCACCTACATCAGACCTTTCCCCCGTTACGAACTGTCATCTCCTCATATTTTACCCGAATGGAAATGAACCATTTTCCAACGCATTTGTATTTAAATATCGCTCGAAATTTACTTTGCCGATGTTAACTTTTTTTTAAAAATTTCCATCTACGCTCCGTTAAATCAACCAAAAATCTAATTAATTAATGAATCTCTTGGATACACACTAAATTTAACTCAAAAAAAAAATTGCCAAAGGCATTGGGGGTCAAAACAACGAATTTATTTTTTTTGTTCGTGTAAATTAACATAATTTTTCGGCGGTTCCGTTTTAATTGGTTTATAAATATAAAACGGGGACTAATAAAATTATGCCGGGTCAAAACTTTCGTAACGCGCAAACAATATGAAAATTTAATTTCTGAAGGGAGGACGCGCGACGCGATCGCAATTAAAAAATTTACCGCTTAATTTCAGTCGTAATTTTCGAATGGAGCACGTTCGGTTTTACTGCGTTTTACTGTTTAAGGTAACGCAGACTTGGGTGGATAGAAAAAAGGACACGACCATAATTTCCCGATAAATTAGGGAGGTCGCTGGCTGTGTTCGCAATAAAAACTTTTATGACTTCGCGAAATGCCAAAGTTGAGGGATTTAAAAAAGGTAATGGTCATGGCTCCAGTGTTCGAACAATAAAAATAACGTTCCCTTTTGTGCGAGATGTATAATTACGTAACTTCATTTTTTATTTTTGTGCCGCGACGCCATTACATGCAGTAAACAGGGTTCAATTATATCATTTCGTAAATTAGCTTTCAACAAAGCTCTATAAACTAAGCCTAATTATAGTTGTGATTAGTTCAACTTTTAAACATTTGTATAAAACAAAATAAATTAAATTATCTTTCTATCTACCTAATTCATATATATTATTACAATGTGAATATTTAATAAAACATTGTTAAGAATTCCTCCTATAATTGGAATATTATTAACATTAAATGTAGATTTACATTTATTTTAAACGTA